AGCCAGGCGACGCGGGCGTTCGGGTTCTTCAGCATGGTGGACTGCTGGAGGTCGGTGTTGATCATCCCGTAGATCCATGTGAGGACGGTGCAGTCCATCTGCACCCACGCCGGCCGATCGGCGTTGACGACATCGTTGAGAACATGATCGGTGAGGGCATATTTGCCCAAGACGACGAGGAAGAGGGCACGCCAACGGGTGTAGTTGTTGGCGACGCGGTCGAGGACCACCGGCATGAGCACCTTGATGTTGAGGACGGCAATGGCGGCGGCGTGGACGTCGGCGTGCTTGGCCTCATAGGTGTCGAGGGCGGCGGTGCGGGCGGCCTCAGCTTGGCGACGGCGGGCGTCCTCAGCGTCTCGTTCGCGCTGTTTGCGAGCGGTACGCTCGGCTTCGGTCTCTGCCATGAGACTGGGTCGGATGGACGATGGTCGGCGTAGAGACAGGGACGGGCGTCGCTGGCGGCCGGATCACGTGGATGACCCGCGACGTAGATCATGCGAACGTAGATGTGAGGCAGATCACGTACAGCATGTAGACGTGAGGCAGATTGCTGCCCTCCAGGTGCTGTGAGTGGACGTAGTCACGGGTAGACGTCGATCGGATCGCGTGAGGCAGATGGAGGCGATCACACGCAGATTGAACTGGGAAAAGTGCATATATGGTAGCCCCAGTAAGATGCTCTGATCTAAACCTGGACCAAATACTGGACATTTTTTGTTGGAAAAAGAGTGGGCTGGAGGCCGGATCTGGAGTCCAAGTGGCCAGTTCGGCTTCGGGGCCGGCGGCGGGTGCAGTGGCGACCGGTGGCGGTTGCGGTGGCGGCCGGGGCTTGTGATGGCGCTGGGGGCAGCGCTCTCTCCTCTGCCTGCCTCTCCCCTCATGGCCCTGGCTGTTGCGGTGGCGGCCGGGCCTCTTCAGACTAGCTTTGGCCAGGGAGGCAACCTGCTGGCTTGCCTGCCCGTGGTGGCCGGTTTGCCGGCCTCCGCGGTGGGCAGGGCGACGGGCCGGCAAAAGAAGGTGCCTGCGGTTGCGGTCAAGACGGAGGCGGCGGCATGGGGCGCCGGGTTCGGGGCCTGGTGTCCGGATCCGGCGGTCCCAGGGCAGGGGGCGGCGCCCGGGATGGTGGGGCACACGCCCTGTTGCGGCTGGTGGCGAGGTCGGCTGCGACATCGGCGGGTGCTAGGGCCGACGAAGATGGTCAGTGGTGGCCTCGTCGTGCGGCATTGGGACGCGAGCGGCGGAGTCAGGTCCGGCTCTGCGTGGCCCGGACGGAGGGGTGGCGGCCGACGTAGTTGTGCGGCTGCTGCGTGTAGCCAGCGCGTCGATGCCCCTCTGAAGGGGCTTCTGTGGGGCAACGGGACAACGACGATGGCGGTGAAGGCTGGTAGGGGGTCCGGCTTTGCGACCCGGCGTTCGTGCTAGAGGGTTCTTGGGCGAAAGCCTTGGCGACGGCGACGCCATTGGGCGCCGCTTCCCTGTTGTGGGCGTCGTGTTTCCCCTCTAGCATGTCATCCAAGGGTGAAAACCCGGTCCACTTTGGACGTGCGATGGTGGCGCCATCGACGTCGCTCCCTTCCTGAAGGCGTCGCATCTGAATTATCGCCGCGGCCTCGATGCGAGGCATGGGTTCGCGACTGGAAGTCGGAGCTGTTCTTCGATGGTTGAGCTTGGCAACGATGACCGGTGGCGGTCGTTCCTTTGGACCTGTCGGGAGGTGACCAGTGGGTGGCCTGCCATGGGAAGTCTAAGCTGCTGGCAGCTTTGCTTCCATGCTCGGCAATGATGATCCATGGCAGTGTGTCGTGTTTTGTGCTCAATCGCGTCGCGTGGGGTGGTTAGCCCCTCGGGTGCCATTTTGGCTACTCGGTTGGCTAACCTTCTTGTACATTATTACTTTCTTTCGTCTTAATTGAGCGGCAGAGCTCCTGACTTTGTTTAAAAAAAAGAGTGGGCTTTCCAATGACATATCTGGGACTGCCACTGACACTAGGCAGGCTGAAGGTGGTGCATGTGCAAGGAATTGTTGATAAAGCAAGATCAAGACTTGCAGGCTGGCAAGGCAGACTTCTAATTAAACCCAGCGGGAAGGAGAGAGCTTGTGAGGTCAGTGCTGAGCGCTATCCCAAATTACTTGATGACATCAATGAAGGCACCAAAACAACTGTTTCAAGACCTTGACAAGTTGAGACGCTGTTTCCTGTGGGCAGGAGACAGTGAGGTCATAGGGGGGAGTGTAAGGTAGCATGGACGCTGGTTGCTAGACCCTTATACTTTGGGTGGGTCAGGAATACTGAATTTGGAAAAAATTCAGCAGGGCACTGCGTTTGAGATGGCTATGGTTTAATTTGCATGGACAAGCCCGGAACGTCCCTGGAATATGGGATGGAACTGTCGGTCGATGAAGTGGATGCCGCTTTATTTGCTGCGGCCACAAGAGTGACGGTGCGCAATGGGAAAAAGGCGTCATTCTGGTTGTCTAGTTGCATCGATGGACAGGCTCCGGAAATCATGTGCCCTCTCCTTTATAGCCACAGCCGGCGGAAAAACAGATCAGTAAGAGAAGCCATAACAGATGGAGCATGGATCGGTGATATTGCTCACGACCTCAACCCGGAACTGTTGAATGACTATTTCAAGCTATGGAGAGCAATATAATCGGAGCGAGTAGATTTGGATGATACAAGGGCTGACCTGATTGTTTGGTCGCTAGAGAGCTCAGGTGAATATGCGTCAAGGTCAGCTTACAACGTCCAATTTGAAGGACAAATCAGATCAAGTTTTCCAAAACTCATCTGGAAAGTATGGGCAACACCAAGATGCAAATTCTTCCTCTGGTTGCTTCTACAAGATAGACTGTGGATGTCACAACACCTACAGTTACGAGGTTGGAAAAATAACTATTTCTGTGCTCTATGTGAAAAGAAATCTCGAGATGGCGCAACATCTGTTTTTCGAATGTCATTATTCACGCAAGGTCTGGGGGTTGGTCGCATCATGGAACGGTTGCCAGGAACTTCATCCGCATCATTGGAAGGAGGAAAATGACCTGAAAGTCTAGGGCCTGTTTGGTGCTCTTCTCAATGTCCCTCACCTGGCCATACAAGCTCCCGCTGACCAGGCTACGGGTGTGCAACCATTGTTTGTTTGGTTCGCATGACCTGCAGCGCCTGGCTGCACACGGCCAGTGTTTGATTGCCCGGACCCGTGCTCCCGCACTCACGCGCGTACGCCATCGCTGCCCACGCGAGCCAGGCTGTGAGAAAACGGATTCCAAATCCGTTTTTTGGGAACAAGGTTCCAGCGCCTCGGCTGCATGCCCAGGGCCAGGCCCAACGACGAGTGCAGGGAACCAAACACCGTGAAACTGCATCCCAGGAGCCAAGCACGAGTACATCAGGGCAACCAAACAGGCCCCTAGTTCCTTCAAGTGGTGGATGGCGGAAGTAAAATGGGTCATAGCTTGGCAATTCTAACACTGTGGATCTTATGGAAGCAAAGAAACGCGATTATTTTCAAGGGCAGCAGAAAATCTGAGCATGCCCTTTCTTCGAAATAAAGGAGATGTGTTACCTTTGGTCACTATCAGGGGGGTGGGGGAGGTCTTTAAGCCTTTTTTTTTTTGAGTAAGGAGGTCTTTAAGCCTTTAACAGTTTCAACTCTTCCCATTTTGTTATAGCCTAACGTAGTCCCCAAAAGCTCAGCATGCTTTGCACTAGTAAAAACATAGGGCCTATATTTTTACTAGTACAAAGCATGCCCAGCTTTTACTCCATGCCAAGAAAGGACACATCCCAGATCATCACTAAAAATTGGATATAGTAAAGTGTGCTACCTCACTGTCGGTACTGATTACAAAAGATGGCAACATGTGTTCACTAATTTCCTAAGACAATGGTCGGTAATTTCATTGATTTTTGGACAGCCATTAGCATCTAACCAGTCTTCCTTCTTCCATGATAATAGGCGGGCCCCCACATCTGCTTGGGGAAGGAATTTGCATACATGCAGATGAAGATTATGGCTGCTACCCTGGTGCATTTCTTCAGGTTCAAACTGGCAGATGAATCCAAGGAACCAACATACAAAACAATGTTTACCCTCCACAAGGATAAGGGCCTTCATCTGTATGCACACCCACGTTCTGCATGAACCGGGCAAGAAGTTGCTGCATCCTTTTCTTTTATGGACAATGGACTGAACCAAAAAGTATTTACATAGTATAAAAGAATAACGAAGGAAAGCATGTGACAATTTTTTCTGTAAATGTAAGATGAGCAATGATTTTCTGTGCCATACTTACCATCCCAGAAGCATTGAACGAAGCATGGTAAAGAACCAAAATGCATGGCACACTGGTCAAACAATAGTAATTGCCTATACTTATGTTTGCACGCTAGCGTAGCGTACCACATTCCCTAGTACATTTTACAATCACACTTTTGACTATTATTACAAAATTCAGTTTCTACTTATGGTATATACTCTTGATACAAATACACATGGTTATTCATCGAACCAGTGGTTTTCGTTAGAGTGGAGAAATGAACTCTTTATTCAACGGAAGGGGTTGAACCCCAATATGAGTACATGTACAATATGCAGAAGAGCCCTTATACATATGGGAATATACAAACATACACACATATCTCTAACAGTTTTAACCTTCAAGCTACTTATGGTAAATACTCTTCATACAAAACAAGGCATGCAATACACACTAAGTACCAAACATCATAGCTCGCAATAAGGCAAGCATCATATGGATGCTTTTGCAAAGTGCACCTGAGCATCTTCTGTAGTCCGACAATTTAGAGATACAGCAATGTGACGGCGACAGAGTTGAAGATGCCAGATTGGTTACTCAGATTTCCAAGAAGACAATGGCGGGGTCTCAGAGTCCTTCCAGGTGTGGCCCATTTGAGGAGGATAACGGTCACCCAAGACTTCACCTGCAGCAGCACACGACTCGAGTTCGGCCATCTCATCTGGTGCCAACTTCACAGACAGTGTGCCCCCACGTTCTGGTTGAAGTTCTCGATTTTTGTTGTGCCAGGTATGGGGCAAACATCGTTTCCCTGATGGTGAACCCAAGCCAATGCTAGTTGTGATGGTGTGCATCCTTTTTTTGCTGCCATTGCGTTCACATGCTCGAATATCTTAGCATTCTTCTCAATATTCTCTGGTTGAAATCTAGGCATATACTGCAGAAGTTTGGAATCCTTGTTACAAAGAGGCATTAGACAATTATTTCTAATTCTTTTTCTTCAAGCCTTGTGTATGGGAACCTTGTATATATCAAATACATGAGCAGAATGCAAAAATGTATCTAAGATCAAGGAAATGTTTAAAATTAAGGATAGCTGAACCATGTATTATGCATATGTAGGTAATAGTTTGAGTTCACCTTGCGGACGTCCTTCTCTGAAAGTGAGTCAACTAGTTTTGCTCCACCACACAAGAACCCTCTTCCTAGTGGACTGTAAGCTACAATTCCAATTCCAAGTTCTCTGAAATAGTCACAGAAAGGTGATAATTCAGAAATAAGCTTCCTACTTTTTAATTGCACAACTCCAGTGGTTGACTGTTCCAGAAAGTACCTGCAAGTGGGAATTATATCTTCTTCCACATCTCTAGACCATAATGACCATTCAAGCTGTACTGCGGTGATAGGATGGACTGCATGAGCTCTTCGGATTGTTGATGCAGATGCTTCGGATAACCCAATGTACTTTATCTTTCCTTCTTCCACTAGCTTCTTGAGTTCACCAATCTAGCAACAGAAAAAGAAGATAAACTCGATTATCTAAAAGGAAATGGTTCATGGCTTACACAGGGTGCTGTGTGGATTGTAAGAGAAAGGAAAACTACAAACAGAACATTATGGCCCCGTTTGGCATGGCTCTAACTCTAGGTGGAGCTGCTCTACTCCAGAACTCCAGATGGAGCCAGCTCTGGGTAGAGTTGGAACTGTCTGATGGAGGTGTTTGGCTGGGAGGGTGTCCCTAACTCCAAAAGAGAGAAGTTTGAGGGTAGATTGCCATTCTTGCCCTGCTTATGTGGGTCCCACTGTCAGTGACTAATCTATTTTCTTTTTTCCTCTCCTCTTTTCCTCTCCGTTTCGTCTCTGTCAGTGGCTCGGCGGCGTCCATGAGGTCCGATCGTCCATGATCCGTCCCCGGCGGGGACCGCCCGCCCAGCTCACACCTAGCGCCCCCCAGCTGCGCAGCCACTCAACGGCGCTCTGCTGGGCTTGGCTGGCCGGCACACGAGCAGCTGCGCGGGTGGGCGCGGATTCCTCCGTCGCCTCCCGCCGCGCGCCTGGAACGTAATAGAAGCTTTTGCTGGGGGCCTGGGGCGTCGAACGGAATGGCCTGGGCCCTAGCGGGCGGCTGGCCGGCATGCCATGTGCGGCCACGGTTGCGTGCGAGCCGGGGAGGTACACCACGCCACGCCATTAGGCAGGCGGCAGGGCAGCCGCGCACGTCGCGACACTCTGGCTGGCTCACCGACCCTCATCACTGGCAGAGCTCGGCGGCCACCCATGGCGGCGGGGGAGGAAGATGACGGCGCGGGAGTGAGGGAGTCACTGCGCGGGGGATCGAGAGAAATAGAATCGAACCGTTTTTTTTAACCAGTGGCAGTGGTGGGTAATTTCCCACCAACTCCACGAGGAGGTTCATATTGAGTGATTTTGGAGCTGCAAAAGAGGTGCTCCAAAACTCCACCTTCATTTGTACTACAGCTCCATGGAGTCGGTAGCTCCATAGAGTTTCGGAGTTGAGGTGTTTGGCTAAATTTTTTTATGGAGTTGCTAAAGTTTAGGAGTGGAGCCATGCCAAACAGGCCCTATATGCGGACTGTCAGAGTAATGTGAATGGGCCAAAAACGACCGCAACTAGTGTTTGCCAGGGCATGGATACAGCATCTGATATGATCGATCCAGTTGCTGTGCAATGGTTTCTTAGAAAACTCCTAGAAATTACTGCAAGGAAGAGGTGTCTACAGTCTTACACCAGATTAGTTTTGTTATCTCCCCCAGTTCTTGGGGTTTGAGCTCTGCTAAACATGTGGGAGGGAGGTCTGCTAGACACGCCCTTGTCACAAGAATACGATGGATCCAAAAAGAGGTTTCTTTTGTTTCTGGGTTAAATTGGGGGTGGTGACTGGTGTGAATGGTGATTGAGATCAGAGCATCTCTAAAAGTATCCTAAATTTTTCACCTAAAGACACCATATTTTCCAACTCCTAAAAAGATATTGGAAGAAAAAAAAAGACCATCTCCAATAGTTTCTAATAAATGGCTTCTAAAAAAATTAAATTTTGGACCCACAACATATTTTTTTGCGGCATCTCCTTTTTTTTTAGACGAGCTTATATATTGCATGCTACTGTTTTCATAGTCCTGTAGCTGCTGCTGCTGGCCGCATTCAGCAAACCAGGCCAACACATCCAGGCGATCGGCCAACACATTCAGCAAACCAAGCCGGCCAGTAGCAGTTCAGTAGCAGCAGCCGGCCAACGCCTGGCACAGAGAGGCAGCACCAGGCCAACACATCCACGCGATCGACCATCGGCAGGCTGGCCTCCAGTCGACGGGCATGCCAATCTCGGCGGCTGTAGCGGCCATGCCAATCCCAGGGGCGGCCAGCGGCGGGTAGGGCTTGGCCATCCGCGGCTACTGACAGCCATAGCCGAGCAGGCAGCGGATGCGGAAGGCAGGAAAACAAACAGAATCTGGCAAATTGCGAGCAGGATCCACGGATTTACATCGTCCCTGGATGGCAAATTGTGAGCAGGTGGCAGCGGCGAAGATCGACTCACCAGTAGAAAGGCAGGTTTCACTCCTGGTCGGTAAGGGTCATTAATCCCGGTTATCCAATCGGGACTAATGGCATGACTCTTTAATCCCGGTTGCTTTAAACCCGGACTAAAGGTCCTCATAGATCACGGGATTTAAACCCAAGACCTCATGTATTGCCTCGCGCGTACCTTTCCACCCAACTACACAGCACATGTGAGTCTAGATGGGATGTTTTTCTTTTGAAGTAACCCGTCAGAGGACCTTTAGTCCGGGTTCGTTACACCAACCGGAACTAAAAGTGTATACATCAGTCCGGGTTCGTAACACCAACCCGGACTAATGTAGATCCTTTAGTCTGGGTTGGTGTTACCAACCGGGACTAAAGGTCTTCTGACACCCAAGAAACTTGGACCCAGGACTAATGCTCACATTAGTCCCGGGTCTAATTTTAGTCGAGACTAATGTGCTGAACCGAAAGTCTGTTCTCTACTAGTGACTCCCCTAGACGTATGGCGAGCTTTGGCGTGAAGTATCCAGGTCGCGGCAAAGTGAAGGCACGCAGGAGGAGAACCGCGCGGGGAAAGGCCAATCCGCACGATCAGAGTTGTAACACCTCGGGTGTTAGCCTTGCATAACTTGACTTGCATAACATGAGCATGATCATCAAGCATTCATAAACAAGCATTTACCATTGAAACATTAGATTGAAACATCTACAACGTTTGCTTGTTATCGCATGTTTCTTAAACATATGCAACTTTTCTCGTTATTTCATGTCTCCATGTATCTATGCATATGGTCATGAGTGTACACATGTACTTGGTGGATGTGAGTCACACAAACATGTAGCCACACTAGGGTAGCAAATAGGACCTTATTCATGGTTACATTTCATGAACCAACATTTAAGCTCCATGTGATTACACTAGCTAGCTCTATGAGTGACTACTACATGAAATGATTGAATGACCTTGCGAATTGCTTGAACATGTCTAGAGTATCATTATGAACAACTTTGATATTCATGGTTAGGGATAATTAGGTCATTAAGCCATGCTTTGATGTGTATCATCATTTAAAAGTGACATGTTTGACCAAATTTGAACTAGGTGTTAGAGACCTTGCATGGAGGAGATCACAAAAGCAAAGTTGTAGTGTTTGACATAAGGAACAACTTTTATTTTTAAGTCAAGGACTGATTTAGCTTCTAACATGCTTGAATGGGTCCCACAAAAACCAGCAAAATCAGGCTTTCAACACTTAACGAATTTTCTAAGTCTTTGATTGACCGCGGTCGATGAGCCTATGTTGGGGGTGATTTTCTCGGTTTGGTTGAGAATTGGAGCATGATCCTTGAACGAAAGTTGTAGCTGGTACATTAGACTTCAACCTTGATGTACTAAGTTTTTATTTGAAAGCCTTGATATGAACGGTTGTCATCGTTGCAATACTCATTTGTCGAAGCTAATACGCTGCCGATGAATCGGTGACGACGCCGTTCGGTGGCCGACCGGGCGCCGAACGTGAGCGCCGGCGGTGTCATGGCGACGGCCGTCGTCGCCAACGCCCTGATCGTGCAGGCCACACGCCACGCCGACTGGCGCTGCCTTAACCCGCCGCGTCTGCGCCCGAGCCATCCCGCGCCCTCATTTCGCATTTCCGGCCTCTCTTCCTCGCAGAGAAGAAGCAGGCGAAGCTCCTCGCTCCGCCGCCGCCATAGCCGCGGCGCAAGCTTCGCGACGAGCCGTCCATTCTTCACCGCAGCAGCACCACTAGCTCCCAAAGCAACCCTGCCTCCTCCCGTGCCGCTAATAGCCCTCGGTAAGTGCCAGGACCGTGCGCGAGCTCACCGGAGCTCCGTTGCCACCTCCATCGCCGTGGCCACGTCGCCACCGTCCACTGCAGGCCACACTAGCACGCTAGATAGCTCCGCCGCAGCTCGGTGATGCTCGGCGTAGCGTTCGATCGAGCCACCGTAGCCCCCACCGGCGTACCGCCATTGTCCAGCTTCGCCGTGCCGCCATGAACGCCGCCACCGTACTTAGCTCCGTCAATAGGCTCGGTCAAGTAGGTCACTAGCTCCGGGAAGTAGTGGGGGTCATGTAGCGTAGATGTCATCGCCGGCGAAGCTCACCGTCGACGAGCCGTAGCCGCGCAGTGCCGAGCAGCGCCGCTGCTCTGTTCGTGGCTCACTGGCATGTGGGGTCCCCTGTCGGCGGGGTCCACCGGTCGGTCAACGATCGATGAAGAGAAAGCTAGTTCATTCTTTTCAGATTTAAATCCTAATTTCATGTGTTTTGTTATTTTGTATCTTCAGTTTGCTGGCTCCAAAAATTGTGAAATAAATTTGTGAGTGTTCCTTAGGAAGTGTAGTATTTAGGAAAAATATGTTCTTGACTTGTAAAGTAGAAATTTTTGGAGATTTAAATAGGGATTTGAAATGTGCTTTTGAATGCATTCAAATTTGTTTATTTTATATCTAGAGTTCTGTGCTTCAAAAATTAGGAAATTTTTTGTGGTAAGCTATTCTTGTCATGTATGAACTCTGGTAAAAATTTGATGATCAGTGCATGTGTATATTTATAGTTATAGATTTTTCTTTTATGAATAGTTAATCCTTGTGTAAATTTTTACAAATTATTTAGAAATCCAAAATTCATGAAATTTGTTGGAGGTAATCCTAGTACCATATGGATGCTAAGAAAAATAGGAAATTTGTTGCTTGACACTTTTCAATAGGGTTTTCCATTTATGCTATTTCAAGCCTTGCTGCCTTGTCATTTTTGCATAGGATGTTCTACTTAGCAAAATGGCATGAAATTTTTACAGTAGTCTATTGGTAGCACTAGTAAGCCACTGTAATTTTCTGAGAATTGATGATGCACATTTGGTATAGGTTTATTATTTAACCTAGGGGTTCAAATAAAATAATAAAGGCATTTAAATAAATAGTTTGGGCTTCACCATTATATTATCTTAAATGGATTTGGTATGCTTAAACTGTTGGTAGATTCCATGTTGTCAAATTGTGAATGATTACATGAAGTAGAAGTATTGTTACTTTATAATGCGAATTGGAATAGTTTTCGGATAGATTCTAGAGTTTGCTAAGTTGCATGATAGAGATGATGTTTGCTGTAAAAATGGTTAATAACAAAGTTGTAGATAATTTGATAAGCTTTTCAGAAAGTCCAGGATCACTGCATTTGGATTAGTAGAACTCCTGTTATGAGCAAAACAAGTAGCTATTGTTTTGTGGTATAGTCGATGCATTGTGGAAGTAGTTAATTAAATAATCGAGAAGAGATATGCACCTACTCATTAAACATGATGCACCTATTAACATATATGCATTCATAATACTTATGCCATATTCATGCATCTAGGATCGGAGGAAGAGATAACGTTGCTAGAATTCAAAGAAGCAGAGGAAGGGGACTAGCAGGAGAATCCGCAAGCCGTAGCTCCCGAAGGCGTGGAGCAGAATCCTGAAGAGCTTCCGGAGTGTCCTGATCACCGCCCTACTTCCTTCCTGCGAGGCAAGCCCCGGAGCATTCTAAGTCTCCCAGTATTTTACAAATGATTACTTAAGTACTTATGATTGATGCATTAGGTTATAAGAGTTGAATGGAACCACTTGATGCATATACATTCCTTGTCCAGCTATTACACCTTTAACCGATATAGGTCCAGGATCGAATATATGCTTAGCCATGCTTAGACCGGTAGAAGTCGGGTGATT